GAAAAGAATGGCTCACAGAGGTGCAGCCCGAGATCGGTAGTGTAGAAGCTTGCACGATTAGCCAAGTTAAGACCCTATGGAAGTTATAGAAAATGAATTTATACAACTCACAAGTGATCGACAGAATTAAAGTTTGTTTTTATATATTTCTTTCTTTACGAGGCAAATTAATTGTTGAAATTCTTGTAAAGAAAAGGGAGCTACAATAAAAGTTCAAATCCTAACTATACAAATAAAGAAATGTCTTTTTATTAATAATTTAATTAATTTTCTCTTATTTTTATATATCTTTCATCTATTTTATATTTCTTATATCTTTTTCTTGACAATTTGTACCTGCAAAAAGATTTGGATTTTTTTTTCGATGAATGCTAAAAGATTAAGATTGATAATATACTCCATTGTAAGCCTGTGTGAAATGGTATACAGGTTTTTTTTTTTTTTTTGGTCAATATTAATTAGACAACTTGAAACCCAAGGCTTATCCAACATTTTGTTTTAGTTAAGTAATAAAATAATCATACAAATAATGTAAAGGATTTTTTTAAGCACAAGTTAAAAGTATTTTTTTATTATAAATGTACATTAAAAATATAAAAATAGATATTAATTTTAATATCATGTGAATTTAATTAAATAGTTGATAAATTAAAGGTTGATTTTTATTTTTTTAATATAAATTTATGATAAAAAAATATATTTAATATATCATTAACCTATACCTTTAGGGTATAAATTAAACCAATCCTAATGTGAAAATAGAGAATAGAAATAGAAAGTGTAAGAAAGAAGAGATTAAGTGTTATTTATAGTGATTCCTCCAATTCAAAGTATATTCATTCTTTAAACCTCTTCTCTCAAGAGTTTAATCCATTGAAATCCTCTTGATTATGGCTACCAGATTAAATCAGAGTAAACTCCTGCTTCCAGATGTAAAATTGAACCCTTACACCTAGCTTTCAAGTGTTAAAAACTGTAACAAGTGAAGTCTCTCTCAACCTCATTCAATTTCTTCAATAATTATCCCAATCCAAGAAAATTACAAAGTACTTATCCATAAAGATTACTTAAAGAACTCGCAAAAATAAAGTTTTTCAAAAAATTCGAATCAGCTCTCCGCAATAGAAGTCCGTTGGTAACCTTTTGAATCTGAATCTAATTTTGTAGTGGATGGTTGAGGGGATTTTTGTGATAAAGTCTTTTTTTTAAGTCTTCAATGCCACCTCAAAAGTTGCTTCACTTAAATTCAACCTTTTTTTAACTTTCCAACATAAATTTTAAATTGTCTTGAAGGCCACCACAACCAACCAAGATATTTGTGGCTCATCAAGACTAATTGCTGAATTGTCAAAATTCTTCTTTACAGAATTTTTAGTTCGAATAAAGAAATATTTGTTTTCGAACAGTTTTCGAAGAGACTCTTGAATGCAAATCCATGAAATTAGTTTAAATCAAGTTGAATCGGTTTGAACTTTGAACCCAGAATTCTAAACAAAAAAAAAAAATTATTATTAAATTCTGATTCTAATTGTAAAAAAAAGTTTAAAACATTTAATTAAATTTGCTTGCTTACTTAATACAAAATAGAGTTTTACATTATCTTCCAAAACAAAAACAACCTAACAGCAGCAAAGCAGGACAAGATACGCGTCTCTTTTGTGCCTAAAATTAAGAGATAATTTGTCCTTCTAGCACACATAAACCCCTTCTAATGCAATTTCAAGACAAATTTCATTTTTCTTTCACACCAAACCTGATAATCGATCAGCTGACGCCTGACAGAAAAAGTTGGATGAAATGATTATTCTTTTTACTTTTTTTCTTTTAATTAAAAACTAATATCCCGACAAATAATATAAAAAAGAACAACCATATATATAGTAATACTTAAGTAGAACTCGGAAATTTAGATAACATCTCCTGTACTCTCAATAATTAAGTTTTTTTTTTGTCCATTAAAAAAAAGTTTATTTTATGGGTCAAGTTAATGGATAGAATGGAACGTGTTCTTCTTCTTCCTTTTCTTTTTTTCTTTTCTATTTTTTTAATTGTGAAAAGTCATGGGGTATATAGATTTTTTTATGCCAAATATATATAAACAGTGTGACTATGTTAAATTTCGGAAACAAAACTAAGGAATGAATTAAGGCAAACTGATGAAATGCCTAAATTCCTAGCAAAGACTATATGGTTAAAAACAGAAGAAGTGAAAGCAGCAGTATACGAAAGAGGGAAAAAAAGAGATCTCTATTTAGGTGAACAACTGCTTTCAAGTGCTAGTAATAAGTGAACAGGGAGGCCATGAAAACTAGGGTTTTAGGGAGAATGTTGATATATACATTTCCAGATTCCCAATCAAATAATTAATGGATGGCACTTGGCCTAAGAGGCCAACTAGGTAAGGTGGCGCGCCTATATCCCAGTTTAATGGATTAAGTTCAAACATCCTCTATGGCCGTAAATGAGTCAAGACTAATTCTTTAAAACTCAAATTTGAGCTTAATAGTTCTCAACAAGCTCAAATTTGACTTGCAAACTTAATTGAATACTTGATCTTAATTTAATATTTAAATTAAATTAAAATTAAATATTTCTTTTTACTTTTTTCTCTTTTATCATCTCATATAAAAATTTGATAACTAAAAATAGATAGAAGTAGTTAGTATGTATTTTAGATGTCCATGTGGGTCAATCTCTAACATTTTTCTTTTTTTGAAATACAAAATTAATTTTGTTAATAACAAGTACAAAGGATATAAAAACCCATAAACATCTTTCTAACAACCATCCCCACCCAGTAAGAGGATTTGCTATATTTTAAATCGATCGATCTGCACATAATCCGTTATGCATCCATTCTCTTTCTGGGTGTTTCTGTTTCTGCATTTTGTGAGAGCAGAAAATGCATATTGCGATGCAAAAAGAATCAAATTGCTAGCTGGACGACTACTCTTACCGCGTCATCCTTCCACACGCTTTCTCTACATTCATCATATATAATCAGCCCAGCTGTCTCTCAAAGAACCATGTGACGCATCAACATATATAGATATATATATATATATATATATATGTTAGTGTTTTGTAGTTTCGATTCAATCTCAATTGTAAAGTAGTGGATTATATACCTTTTTAATATTGAATTGCCTAATAAAATATAATTATTTTTTATCTTTTAACTCATTTTATTTGTTTACTATTTAACTTAAAGTCAATACTTTTTACTTTTAGAGGAAAGACATTACTATTGAACTATTAGTAGATTATATATATACCACAATAAAGTAATTTGCTTTGATCCGTTTGGATGGGAATTAATTGGGAAGCAACGTCATATAAAACCCTAAAAAACCGTTTGAAATATTGAACCTTATTTAACTTTGCAAATTAGTAAACTATTGTGGCTGCAAATCACATCAAGACCACCTGCACGATCGATACATGGATGATGCTTCTACTTGTGGAAAACAATTTCCCGCGTTCTCAAGTTATCAATCGAATCTTTTGATGTAGTTACATATTTGAGGGTATAAATTTTTATATAATTAATCAAAATTTTAATTAATTTTTGAAAAAGACACAAATCTTTTTTATTTTGATGATGATCATATAAGGGGGGGTTGTCTCTGACTAATCATATTCCCTTTCATGATGTCCTTTTATTCCAAAATCAGCTTCAAATCTACTGTTGGATAATTCCTTTTGATGATCTAATTGACAACAATTCTATTAAATCTACATTATAATTAAACCCCTAACCCCACTTTTGCTTTTTTGACAAAATAGCAGTCTAATTAAGCTAGTCTTTAGCCTAGAGATTATGTAACTTCACTTGAGCACGAAATAATTTTCAGAGAAAAATGCCATTTTTAGGGCAAAAGCTTAATCATGACAATCTCCCTTTGCTAGTTGATTTCAACTTAACAAATGTCTTTTATATATATGAGTTTTTTATTTAGAGTTTGGATTTTAGAATCAATCATATGACTAAGCATTGATTACATGTGTAAGCT